AGTTGCGCTGACCTTTTCACCTTACGTTTCCCTCACCTTCCTTCCCACCGTGATAACTGAGTTCACTGAATACAAATGTCAGAGTGTGTGTGTGTGTGCTCTCATGTGTGTGATCTCACCTGATGTGTGGTCTCATTCTGCCCCCACCCGTGTGCCCACACGCGTGTTCTCCCATACGTGTGCCCTCCTATGTTGGTTCTCATATGCGCGGAAATTTGCAATTTAAGTCTATTTGTTCATTTAACATTTGGGGCCTGTTGCCGGGGTCTTAGTCAGGCCCTGAAAAAATTGCTGTCACGGTGACTATCTGCGCCAACGCAACAAAATATCGGAGCAGATTCGGAGCAGGCTCCGGAGGAGGTTTTGGAGTAGGTTCCGGAGCAGGTTCTGGAGGAGGGAGGTTCCGGAGCAGGTTCCGGAGCAGGTTCTGGAGGAGGTTCCGGAGGAGGTTCTGGAGGAGATTCCGGAGCAGGGTTGCCAGGCAGGTTCGGGGCAGGCTCCGGAGCAGGTTCCAGAGTGGAGCAGGCTCTGGAGGAGGTTTTGGAGCAGGTTCCGCAGCAGATTCCGGAGTCGGTTCCGGAGTCGGTTCTGGAGCAGGCTCCGGAGCAGGTTCTGAAGCAGGTTCCGGAGTCGGTTTTGGAGGAGGGTCTGGAGGAGGGTACGGAGCAGGTTTTGGAGTAGGTTCAGGAGGAGGCTCCGATCTATAGTTTCCGGAGCAGAGGTTTCGGAGCAGGATCTGGAGCAGGATCCGGAGCAGGTCTCGGAGCAGGTTCCGGAGCAGGTTCCGGAGCATGTTCCGGTGGAAGAGCTCCGGAGTAGGTTTTCGAGCAGGTTCCGGAGGGAAATTGGCCTTGAGCTGTTGGGGATTTTTCTTGGGTTTATTAAACCAAAAGCGGGCAACTGAACAAGTTATCGAGGAAATTTGGTTTCCTTTTGGTTGCGTATAGATCACAGCATGATACAGCATGGAACACGCTGTGGATCCATCAATGAGGCAGATCATCCGTTTGGACCCCACACCAAGGTCTTGGTCAGCTTGTTTGCAGCCAACTTGTGGTTTCTAGGCCTCCAAAGCTTTGATCATGCAAAACCGCCGCATACATCCACAGTACCTCGGACTCTGATGCATCAGTAAGCTGATGTTGAGAGCCCGACCGGGTGAGCTCGATTTTGGCACCCCAGTTGCCCAGCCGTTCAGAACACGTAGCATGCAGAGCATCAGCCGGGAGGCCAGCAAAATTTTGGCATTCACCTCCAAACTCCCATGTTATGTTGTTATGAACCCGGCCATTTCCAAGCTCCGAGTTGCACGAAGACAACATGCCTGGGACAGGGAAGAGGTCTCTCCTGGTCCTGGTCACAAAGAGAGTGTCCATGTGGATGTGGAAGGGAATGCTAGAAAAACGAAGAGGATTTCCTTTAGGGTTGGAAGGGCTGTGCACTACACACTGCGCATATTCACCTCACAAAATTGGACATTTAAAACAATTGCATTTATATTGTAGTTATATTACAGTATATAATATAGTGCATTTGGCAACATGTTGTGCTGACCCACTCCCCAAGTCCCTGGCCACCGACAATGAACTTGCTCTCTTCGTTGACTGGGTCCACCTCTTGTTTTCAAGACACATATATGTTTATTTTTCCCGATGTTGGCGCATTTCCCAATTCAGTCCAATATCAATATTTGGTCCGTTTTGGAAGTCCCTGCAATGCTTTCTCCCCTTGCATCATTATCTGCTATCGCTGATACTGCAAGAAGGGGCCCTTTTCCACAATGTTTCAGGCCCCCTTCTGTTACCCAATAAGACGTTGAGACTCCTTTCATGACCTTCTGGCTGCACTGATGCTGGGGGAAAAAGGTCAGAATCCTGGCTGATCTCGGCAATTTTGTAATTTTCATTCTGCTGGAGCCAGAATTTTCTCACGCAGATGAAGAAACAGTGCTCATAAACGGGTGTCGATGATGACCAATACCTCCTGCAGACTGGACCTTTAGACCGAGGGCTATTCTGGCCATGTGTACGTATGTTCTGGGGACGCATTCTTTTATCACCCCAAAACAGCAGATGCTGGCTCTCCCACATAAGAAGGCCCTTCTGTACTTGGAGAACCACGTTTCTGCCGGTTCTTTTTCGAGGAAGGTTTGCGTTCGCTTTGACCAAGAGATCGAGACCATGTGCGACAAAATAACATGTCGAAACATGTCACTTTTTGCGTGGTACGACAACATCAGTAGCGTCAATCTCCAGAGTTTGGACGCTGCCCTTCATTGAACATTTCAACCCATTTCGTTTAGTGGCTCAACCTAGCTCAGCTCGTCACACTTCTTTTCACCTTTTATATCCTCCATCAATCCGAGTCTCCAGAATTCGGTGTCATGTTTGTACCTTTTACTGTCTGCAGTCTACACTTGCAAAAGCTCGCGTCGAGGAACCACATGATTGACCCAGAGATGCTGTGAATGAATGTGCTTTTGAGCATGCCGTGGCAGGCACAACATGCCCAGGCTTGAGCCAAAACGTGTATGGAATCATTCACGCGGACGGTGCTCGGATGGTGCCAGGAGATGGGGAAGCCCTTACCGCGGATCGTTGAGAAGCCTGACAACTACAACCAAGCCACTTTGAAGAGATAAATTGTCAGGGAGACCTCCGAACGTCCTAGGTTGACAAGGCTTACAACTTAAAACATGTTGGCATTTGTGACGAGTTACATCGCCAATGCCACCCTTGGCCACCTGGTCCCTCACATCCGCGCTGTCCTGGGCGACCTAGGTCAAGCGCATCTCCGAGTTGAAGCCTGACTTGGCCATCACTGGAATGGTCGTTGGGCCCAGTTGGACACGATCGGCGGGTGGAAACTGGTTACCTCAGCAGACTCCTTCATCCAAGGGCGCAGTGGGAAGATGGAGCTTGTGTACTAAGCATGGGCATTCTATCGTGCGGAAGAACGCTTCAGCCTCGGGAGTTGTCCCCAAAGAGGTCTTGCAAAGAGCAGCCCATGGCCATAGTCTGAATCTCCTGACTGAATTGTAAGTGTGATTATGAGGGCCATTCTGCTTCAAGACTGAAAGACATGAACAGCAGAATCCAGAGGGTTCCAGTTGCCTTCCAGTCCACAATCCTGGCTTTTCTTCCCCTTGACCAAGCCTGTGATCCAGGCATATCCAGGCTGTCTTCTCACAGCCCAGTCTTCACGGTGCTTGACAGTTGTGCCGGTTCCGCTGATGGCAGGATCTTGCGTTGATGCACTCTTGGAGAGGCCCTTCTGTGGTTCGAGGAGAGTTCTCCCAACATCTCGCACGCAGGTGCAACACAGAAGTTCCAGGCTTTGGTTTGCAGACAGTTTAAACAATGAGGAGCAGCGAAAAAGGAGAGTCGCCATTTTCTGCGACGAGGTGGTCATTTCATGTCATTTCACTCTCCTACGGACGAGCGGAGCAAGTCGTCGCACCGCCTCGCGCCACGCCTTGCGCCGTGACTCGTGCCGCTCGAGAGCGCCGAGGCGCACGCCAATCCCTTGGAAGCCCGTGGCATTAGCACCAAGTGGAGTGTGGAGCCTGGGAGCCCAGTGGCAACGCGCATCGCTTGGCATCCTTTGGAGGGAAGCGATGGGCAGGTTCGGTGGGGCGGATTGACCCTTTGCAAGCAACAAGTTCAAGGCACATGGCGAAAGCGTGAGGACAGATGGGAGGCTCACCTTTTAAACCTATGATCTCAAATTAGCAACTAATCCAGAGTTTCTGCTAGCAAAAGATTGACTTCAGATCTGCCAAGTAGCCATGGAAAATGGCTTGGTCTCAACCCATGGGATGGATTCGATTATTATAAGGAGCCTTTTGGGTTCCTCTCTTCTAGGTCCCAGCTTGGTCCATGCGTTTTTGTGTCGTCATGTTTCAGTCTCGATAAGACTCCTGGTAGTTCATTCGTTGAATGGATGCCAAGTGTGAAACCTTCGGGCCATGGGTAAGGGTTTATGTTACAATTATGTATATCAGTGCACAAAAGCTGTTTGGAGCGTGCAACATCTCGTAAACGACACGCACACACACATACTCTAGCTGTCTGGTTGGGGACACAGATCAATGAGCATTCCGAATGAGTTAATCTCCAGTTGACCCTTCGAACGCCGATACAGCCCGATCTGAAGGTTGGCGGGGACGATAATGAACTTAAACGAAGGTGACGTCAGCTGTCAATCTTTCCATGTTTTGCAGGAATCGCGAGACGTTCGTTTTAACAGCGGAGCGCCTGGGAGCGTTGATGAGGTTCACCTTCCAACATATCCATGGCTTTACCAATGTCAAGGACAGGCTGCCAACGTGAGTGTGCTAATCCGGTCATGTTGGACCTTGTTGCCAAGTCACAGCAATCTGAGCCGATGGTTTTAATTCTTTTTGTTTCCTCCACGACGAAAGACAATGCCATGGAAACGGACTCAAGCCAGTTAACCACCAGTCAACTGGAACATTCATCCCTCGAGCTACCCCATCTGCCCAGTAGGGGAGGCAGGAAGAATAGGATGAATAGTGCAGTTGTTTGAGGTCTATTGTACTTCAACCCCACGACCCAATACGACCCAATACGACCCAAAGGATCAGTCAGAACCTCCATAAATTCAAGATCTATACCTACACAACAGTGAAAAGGACAGTTTTATACTGTTTCTTTCCAACAAAGCCTCGTTTTCCAAAACCAGCGTATTCGGATGTTTCAGGTGTTCTCCAGTTGTGTCCCAGGACTTGTTCGAGTTGGTAACTCGCCCATTGCGGCGGAACCAGAGCCTGTCAGGCACCCAGATTTCTGACAGAACCAGCTTGTGGACACTTGTGGTACATGAGAGAGACGTGGATCGTTGCCCAAATGGTGGGCCCCATATATATATATATATAGAGGAATTTGGGATGCATGTGGTCAGCACTAGAATTTCCAAAATTCCAAAACTATGACACTCTCTCCGTGTTATCCTCACAACCTGTGTAGATTTGAAGACGCGTGCACACATGGATCCCCAAACAAGAGGGGCAATGGGAGCTACTGTATGTGATAAGATGGGATCAGGTTTTCTTTTTCCAAAGGCTTTAGTTCTAGAAATCTCTACATTTCTCAAAATTCTAGTTTCGAAATCTATGTTGCCTGTTGAATTCTGTTTGTCGAGAGAAGTATTGGGTTTTCAACTTGGTGACCGCAACTCCCTCCCTCATCCTGCCCAGCTGGATGTGCAAGTTCCTTGCTCATGTCCCAGACCCATCCTTGGACGCGACGAAAACTCATCCGCGCTTCAAAATGCGGCAGGACCTCACAATTTCCAGAATTTCCCACTGTTCATCTAGGGCCCTAGGGTCATCTAGGGTTTGGTTTCGTGCATCCCAGGTGGCCCAGGTACGAGATGGAATCATCCATCACGAGTATGCCCAGTGGACCTCCAAGGCCTTCACGGTGGAAGACCTTCGTTCGCAATGAGGAGGCCGTTGTGGCGGAGGCAGGATGTCATTTTGGAACCTGAACCACATCTGTGCAAGTTCCGGCCTGACAATTGAAGGCATCGGTCACGGGTTGATCTCAACTGGAAAGGAAACAGAGTGCCGGTGTCCATTTGCCGTGATCGTGACCAAGTTGGCCAGCGATTATATATATAATATATATATATATATATGTTTTTTTTTTTTCCGACCAAAACCTTCTGCAAGAATCCCGAGTCGTTTGCATGTAGTGCATATCTGCAGGTTTGATGGTTTGCTTTTGGAGGCATAGAGACGACTCGCAGCAGGAACCGACTCTTTTTTGGGTCCGATGGCACCAAACCCCACTGAGCTCCACTGGCCAGCCCCTAGCAGGCGAAGATGCCAGCTGATGCACGAGTGGAACTTTGAGTCCGTTAAAAATAGTGTGAGTGGATCCTTTTGAAGTGTATTCCAAAGTAAGGGCAGCTCTAAAATGGTTGCTGTATATCTTTGCTTTGCTTTTAGAGACACCTTTATATGGATCATGACCATGCATAGGTCTCCGGGTCGAACCCCGTGGCAGAACTCTGGCAAGAGATCAGATCTCAAATGAACAGATCGCTGGGGTGTATTTGATATTACACAGAGGGAGTAAGGCTTAAGGGATTATTGAAGAACTGGTTCGCCGTGATCACTTTTCAAATCTCTAAAGACTCTAAAGGTGCTGTACTTAGGATTTCAATCCCGTTTCACCACTGATACAGATGAAACCAAAACAGCAAGTCACCAGTCAAGAGTGATCCCCACCCAGCCAAAGTTTGAGACTCATCACTGACCTACTATCAAATGTCAGTGGGTGGGTCACCTAACCAGGAAAGGATGCCTCCAAGATCATTACAACTGCGATTTGTGAAAGTGTGGCATCATAAGACTGAGGACGCTACTAGGGGCTCCTGGCCTTACTAGGAACAAGAAGCTACTAGGGGCTCCTGGCATCGCTACTAGGAGCAAGGACGTTACTAGGGGCTCCTTACTAGGACTGAGACTTACCACTTCCTTTCATTCGGGCTCAGAAACTGGGACTGGGCAGCATGGCGACAAGAGCCTACTGCGTTGTTTCGAGAGTGAGCAGCAGATGTGTTCTGCACGCAAGCAGTCTGATTCTAGGTGGAGGCCATCGCTAGTACGTGCAGGCCATCGCAAGAGGTGCCCCTCCCTCCCTCCCGCTCCCTGTTTGTGGAGCCATTGAACACCACCCCAAAGTCTACATCTTGGTTTGCGACGAGTGCTCTCCCCCATGAGGAAACAGAGGGAGCCGCCCTCTATGTACAACCCCATGAGTTGCTTAACAGAAGGTCCTTCTCACAACATCTCACAACCTTGGACCCAAGGCTCAACCAACAGCTGGGTGCAGCGCAAAGCCTGCAATTTCGGAGAATGAAGCTTTTTAGCATTAGAGGACAATAGAGATAAACCAAGAGACCCCGCTAAAAGATCAAAAGGACTCTTCAAAGAGGAAGTTTTTGCCCTCCGCCTGGAGTTCCAATCACTGCTTGGTGGTTTCAGCTCAGGTTCCAGGGAATAACCTGGTGTTTCTCAAGCAGCCGACCCCACCGCAGCGTGCGATGGTCGAGTGTTCGGCGTGTAGCTAGCTGTTTCAAGCAGGCAGCGGCCCTGCCTTCTTAGAGTGAGTGGGCAACCAGCATTGCAAGTATATCAAAAATAGGTGTGTGTGAGTCTACGGGACAAAAACACTTTGCCCAGTAATCGGGTTGCAGGAAGGTGGCTGGCTGTCCTGAGTTTGCTGCTGCAAGCAGACTCTTTGCTTTCCCTTCATCCTGCAGTTGATGTTTGTTTGTGCTTATGCCAAAGGTTTGCTCTACGGGCCTACGGGCACCTACTAGAAGTTGATCAGCTGATGAGCATGTGGGAGGTACGATTTGTCAAGGATCGTTTCCATCGATCGTCTCTATGCCCTGCACTCTTCAGATCTTGCTGATTACCCAGTCCTAGCTTTGTAAATCATCTTTTGCATGGTAGTATCTACTGTATATTTGGGAAACTAGCAAGCAAACATCATGTTTGCAATGCTTTCAATGCTTTCCTTGCAATGCAAGGACGCTACTAGGAGCAAAGGGCATCGCTACTAGGTGGCAAGGACGCTACGAACGGGGCTCCTGGCATCGCTACTAGCAACATGTCGATTCGTGTGATGCTCGTTCGCCCAACCGCTCCGGAGCCGTCTGCGACTCCTCCTCGCAGCGAAACGACCGAGCGCACTGCCCACTCGTGGGCCTTCAAGGTGGCGGAGGGGGACACCCCTTGGGTGGGGCGAGAAGACCAACGGAAAGACCAGGGAGATTCACTGTACCAGCTGTTTGGTTCTCGCAGGGTGGTCATGTTGTGATCTTGTTTATGTCATTTCAAAGATGACATGTCCAAGATATGATATGGATTGGAGGTTTTAGTGCTTGAAACGACTGGACACTTGTTTTTGATGTGATTGTGGGAACGACAGTCGTTCTCTGTGTGTTGCAGTCTCCTGCACTCCACCTTTGCACGACTTGTTCAGTCCCTAGCCTGCCTAGTTATATTTTAGATGTCCAGAGTCCTATCTGAGAGAGCATGCGTTGAAGTCTTTGTGCGTAGATTTTTTTTGGTTTCTCCACACACTGACAATGTTTATTGTTGTGTTGTGCAAACCTCACTTCGGGCTGGCTTTAGATTGATCAGATTGTCACACTTTCTACCTTTTGATTTGACAGTCCTTGGTCGGGCTGTGGGAAGGTGGCGATTTTGATAGGAATTCACCTTCCGCCTACATGAACCTTCCAGCCAGGGTTCGATTGGAGCTGTTGCCGAAGCTGCCTTGGAATATAAAAACAAATATGACCTTGGGATCCCCAGATGCCCCATCTGCCAGGTGTGCTAACAAGCGCAAGAACCGCTGCACAGGGTTTCTGCTCATTTGATTTTGTCTGGCACCTTTGGCTCGAGCAGATTCACTGATCAGCCCATGAAACCTGCATTCCACCTTCAACAAGCTGAAGGGTTCTTAGGGAGATGTGGAAAGACTTGCTTGAGGAAGATGGGAAATCGCTTAATCGACAACTGCCCGTTGCATCCACTTTGGAAGACGATTACTTTTGCCAAGTGGTCTTTGTTCAACAGACATGGATGTGGAAGACATGGATGGCCAAGACAGACCCTGCACATAGAGCAAGTTCTGAGCCCTTTCCATCCTCCGCAATTGTTTTGACAAAAAATGGTTTCAACTTGCAAACCGGGTTGGTCAATCTTCGAGAAAGCTCCCCACCTTGATGCCAGAATTGCTTGGCGAAAGCCATGGGATGTTTGGGCCTCCTTTGTTCATCTCAAAAGGGCCACACGAACCATTGCACCCTAGTAGTTCCTAGTAGTTCCTAGTAGCGATGCCCGTTGCTCCTAGTAGCTTCTTGCTACTAGTTCACTGCAATGCGAACCACTTCCTGTGCTTTTGGGGCCACACGAACTCGCGAGTTCACCACCCCTCGGCCAATGCGCCATCTCCGATGCCATCGCGATCGTTATGGCGGGTGACGGGAAGGGTGAGGTTGAAGGCCTTGGGCTCAGTGAGTACATTTTCAAGGAACCAAATTAATAGTGCAAGCGCTTCTTCAAGCCCCCCCCAACCACCTTTAGGGCGGCAGGGGGAGCTTCATTGAAGAAGCGTGAGCTATCCTGTGTCCAGTAGGTAGTAGATTCGCTAGTTGCCCTGACTTATATAATTAAGTAGGCACCTGGCACCTACTTATAGGTGAGGGGCAACTCGGGCCAAAGAAGAACAAGAACATCTCACACAATCCGCAAAAAGGTTGAGTTTGACTCAAAGCTGAGGCGAGACGCCCGAGAAAGGCTTCCATCTCACGTAGGTACCTGAGGTCGGACGTCACGTCGAGGCGACGGGAGGCATTGGCGTTGGCCATTTGGCCAGTTTTGACATGGAAGCGATGGCCCTAATAGCGATGGCCTAGCGATGGCCTCCAAACTAATTGCTACTGTACGGGCTACTGGTACTGTTTTGACTGTTTTGGACAAAACAGACTTTACGACCTTTTTCCGAACCAATGTGTCAAGTCAGTCACCATTCTCGAAGGGAAGATATATAAAGATCCACTTTGACCCACCCTGACTTGAACAAGCCTCTGTTTGATAGAGGATTTCTTCTGAGAATGGGCCGTAGGTCATGCCCCCGTTTTGTCGTCCTACCACAGCTCAGGTTCTTGTTGAGATGATCCTTCCTTATCCCTTACCTTAAGAGTGTCTACCGGAATCCCCAGTAGAGACACTCACGAAATCGGCCGACCCGGTGCTGACGACCATGAGCCAGATGTTGAAGCCAAGGCTCCACACCACCGTGCTCCTTTTATCTCTGGGGAGGTGAGGATGGGTCTTGGCATCTCATGGGACCGTCAGATCCCACCAGTGGCCTTAATCGTTTTCCTCTGCCCTTCCAGCAGCACTCATGTCGCCGTCTTTTTCTCATAGATCGGAAGGTTGGGGACAAAATTGCACGTGCTGACACTCATGGTTTCGTTCTATCGACTGGCTCATCATGCTTACTTGTGATGTTTGCGGTGAAACTCTTGGCGAACGCATTCTTTCCTTGTTGCTTCTGGTTCAACCAGTTCTTAGGAGTTCCCTTTGGAAGGCCTTTCGTGGCCTAGAGTCGCTTTGAGGATGTTTGGGCCGAGCACCCGCGCAAACCATGGCCCAACGACACACACACACACAATTCTGATGATCTCAGCCAAGTCACGAACGAGTCATTTGAGCTGGCATGATCGCTTTCCTCCTGATCCGTTTGCCAGTTGGTTGTTGCTCTTTACCGTTGAGATCTCGGCCAATGCCAGTGATGGAGAGGAAGTCTTTCATCCTGACAGGCTGGGCCGAGGGTTGGGTCGCGGGGGTTTGCTGCCTCGGTTCGGGGCGCCTGTGTGGTGGGAGGGGTGTCTGAGGGACGAGTCGCTTCATTCTTTTTCAGGGATGAGTCCCTTCACACCAACGCGCAAGCCGGTTGATCATTCCCAAAAGTGAAGGGCGCTAGAGCAATGGCTTCAGCATGGCGACACTTTAATGGCTGCATATGAAGGAAATGGCTGCATATCAATGGAGCTGGTATGGCCTCATGGCCTCAAGGTGACCGCACCCGAAGGAGCCACTGCCAGTGTAGGGAACACAAACTGCACTTGCTGAATCCTACTCATACACGAGTCAGGTTCTCCATTCCCTGATATGATCTGTTGTTTTAACAGTAGCACCCAGCCGAATATCACCGTTTGGATATGAGGATGCATACGACGCGCGCCCCTTCAGGCACTGTACTACTAGTTGACTTTCCCTTTCAACAAACTCTCACACCTAGCCTGTCTTTCAAGCATCTTAGTAATAAAGCTTTCTAGTAACTAGAAGCTACTAGGAGGAGGCCATCGCTATTAGGTTGGAGGCCATCGCTACTAGTAACAATAAAGCTTTTTGGTCGTGTGGTGTCTACTGGGTGCCACAGTGCCATCCGTTCTTGTCCGAACCACCCCCACGGCACGCAGGGTGGGTGCTCTGGTGACCAGCTGCGGCTTCACCGCCGCCCGGATGCCCGGACGTTCGAAGTCCCATTCTCCCAGTACAGCAGATGCCGGTGTCATCCCGAAGCAGCATGCCGGGTACACAGAAGATCATGATCATGCATGCAAGTATACGGCTGGCAGTTTGTACTGTGTACAACTTGCAACTCATAATTCCGCAGTCGTTAGTCAGAGGTCCTCTTAAAGGCCTGGGCTTCCGATCGTTTAAGCTTTGTGAAAGAACAACTGCGTGACCCTTGCAGAGAGTGTATGGACATGTATGGACCTGGTATGTACACTTCCCGGTAGCAAAACACACAGAAGGTTTTGAAGGATAATTCTCCTTGACCAGAAAATTGTTTTTTTGGTTGGATGACCTGACCAGAGCAGTTGATTTCACACAACCTCAACCCAGGCATAGTTAAGAGCTCATCTTCCCAGACCTTTTCAGGAGCCACGTGTTGGCCCAAGGTTCCTGAAAAAGGAAGCGCAGAGTTATGAACCACCACTCATGAACCGACACATCGAGGATCATCGATATTTCTGGATTGAAAAGAACACTTCAGTCTTCAAGCCTTTTCATGGAAGCCTTTGTTGGTGGTCTGGCCGCATGTCTTCACGGCCTCGACCTTCGGACTTCGGTGACTCTAGGTGACCTGCCTCCTGCTGATGCTCTGGTGTTTGGGAACACCTGGGAGGTGCGGTGTCTCTTCGAAATCGAGCATCAGCAAACCGTTCCTAGTAGTGTCCTTGCTCCTAGTAGCGATGCCAGGAGTCCCTGTAGCTTCTTGTTCCTAGCAGCGATGCCCTTTGTTCCTAGTAGCTTCTTGCTCCTAGAATAACATGGAATCACTTCGTGAAAGGCCTCCAAGAACAGCAGCATCGCTTCGTTGCATCAGCAGAACACCTTTGCAATACCTGAGACCTTGTTGAAGCCGCCCTGATGAGATGATTCAGATCCCAGTCGCGTTTGTGGCAGAGGATGGGTAATCAGGCCTGTGGGTAATCAGGACTCCAAGATGCTATGACTTCCAAAGCACCATGCCGATCGCTCCCTACGAAGCTCAAAGCAGTGTCTTCTCAGAAACAGACTGTCAGGTCCTCCTACACCTCAGTCCTGCCGGGCGAGGTGACTGGCCGAGAATGGGGCGAACGATTTGCGCCGTTTGCGGAATCCATACGGGTCCACCGCTGGTGGGGCAGGTGGGTCGGTCCGGAAAGGCCTAGAGAGTAGACATGACCAGGCTGAAGTATTCTCTTCATTAAGAATATTAAGATGCTGTACTGTGGGGACATGCCTCGTCTGCGACATCTAGGGTGAAGCTGGATTTGCCCTTGCGAGGAGTTATACTATGATTGGGCCAGGCCCAATGGACTAATCGACTCCCATCGCCTCGCACATGTTTGGCGACATCCGGTGATCCAATCAGACAACCGAAAACGAGTGGTTTACCCCGAAGGATGAATTTACCAAAAGTGTAGAATCAAGTCGATCACACAGCCGCTGTGGCAAGTGCACCAACCCATTCACGGTGCCAAATACTGAAAAGGAAGAAAGATAGACACTAGAAAACTGCATCATAGGAGTGCTCAAGCTGATCAACCTTTCGTGTGGCCATGAACGATCCTAGTTTTTGCTCACGCCCCCCCCTAACGGCCCCGGAGAATTTCCACGTTTTTCACCATTAACCAAGTTGATACTACGCTGGGGATGGGGTGGGGATGGGGTGGGGTCTGTTAACGTTCGCTTGCACTTGCAAACCAGGTTGATGCTACGTTGGGGATGGGGTGGGGATGGGGTGGGGTCTTTTAACGTTCGCTTGCACTTGCAAGTTGGTGGTGCTACGTTGGGAATGGGGTGGGGTCTGTTAACGTTCGCTTGCACTTGCAAACCAAGTTGATGCTGTTAACGTTCGCCTGCACTTGCAAACCAAGTTGATGCTACCAAGTTGATACTACGTTGGGGATGGGGTGGGGTCTGTTAACGTTCGCTTGCACTAGCAAACCAAGTTGATATTCCCAGTAGTGGTTATGCAAGGTCTGACTCCTGATAACCCATAGCTTAATAAAGAATGAATGCACCAACTGCAGTGAAGCATGGCACCCAATGTATTGACCGCAAATGAATGGTCATCCCTGAAGAAGTTTATCCCGAAAGAGTTGGCATCCAAACGATCCAATGGCGGGTTGAATGCACAGATCCAAGAATATATGTATAGCTTTGTGTGGCGCTGTAATACACCGTCTAAGCACCAAGTGCAGAAGTTGGGTCAGACGGCACAGAAGGAGTGGAACATGTGAAAAGGAGTGGCACGCCTGAGGGAGTGGAAGTGTGTTAAAGTTTCATGAAAAAAGATAAACGATTATTAATATAAAGATACGTTTTTTTAACTTCCGGGTCCCCGAACGCACTGTCATTTCACAATGGAGTTACGATTTGAGGGGCGTTTTGTGGTGTAAAAACACATTCAAAATGACATTGACCTAAAAAAAGGCATCGCCGCAAAGTGCCAGAGGGGTTGTGAAAAACGACTCGAAGATGCATGTGAGAACGCGCAAATCGCGCGGGGCCGTTGCAGCGGGCGTGACCATGAACGATCCTAGTTTTTTCTTCGTAGCACGGGTTTGATCGAGTACAGCTGCTGCACAACGACGTATGCACAAGGGGCTTTTCAAGAGTAACTGGTGCAAGCACCAACGACAGATTCTTTGCAAAAAACATTTACATCATGTATATACACCTAGAAGGGGCATCTACCAAGTTTGCCACAGCCTTCTATGTAGCTGACATCACGTGACCCATGGTCAGCCATTTTGCATAGTGGAATCTCATACCCAACCAGGAGGGCGTGCCACATCCGCGCCAAGCAAGAGGGCTTCTTTGGCACTATGCGATCCATGGCGGTTGGGCTCAATCTACTCGGCGGGGTGGACCAGGTGGATGGTTGTGCCAGCTACGACAGGGTTGGGGCATTCGTCTGAAGACCTGGCAAGAAGCTGGCAGATCTTGCGACAACTTTCCAGTTTTTGAGGAACCTTTCCAACGTAGGCATGAGGCATGGGTCTTGGGGCAAGTGATGCAGTTCACCTTCTTGCTTCATATTGTTCAAATCTTGGCCAACTTGGTCGAGCCTGCGGACAGTTTTTGATTCTCAAACACCCCGCAAGCACCAAGCAGAGATATTTTTTCCATTTTGGTCTTGTCCACTGTTTAGGCCTCCAAGCCATCGGTGAGCACGGAGCGCTCCCGAGGTACTTTGGTCTTGGCCACGATCTGCTGCTTGGTGAGAACTGATAGAATTGTATAAATTTATACAGTTGAACTTTGAACGCCTTTGAGACCAACATGTAACATTAACACGGGCATACATCAAACGAAAGGACCCTTGACCCGCCGGAACAGCCAAAAGAAACGTATATTGATGGGCCCCCAAAGCCATCTTTATCAATTTATCATGGTTGAACCTTCACACTCCAAAGTATGTTGGAGAAGGATGGACAGACGAGGACTCCAAGACTTTTCATGAATTAGTCTACTGGAGCTTTCCATGATCAGAAGGACAAGAGTTCGGGTATGCAACGCCTTTAAGCGAAAGAGGTGCGAGCTGTTGGCCCGAGTGATGAAGTGTTTTCGGGAGACTGACACTTGGGGCTGCACAGAGCCCTGCGATGTCGGGAACATCCAATACAGCACAATGGGTCTTTGGAAGCCAATTCCGAAACACATCCAACTGACCCAGCTGACACTTGTAAGGTCCAGAATGTTGGCCTCAATGCAGATCCAACGTTGTACCATGTTGTATCACACTGATCTTGTCAAAATAGTTGAACATTACTCTCATTTTCTATAAACAGAATATGAAAGGTGCCATATCCCCAACCACGGCCCTGCATTTCTTCATACCCGACTCCCGAACATTCTTGCCCGACCTTGCGGGGAAGGACGCAGTCATTTTCACTGGGGAAGAAATCAACGGCTACCAGAATAGCAATGATTTTCGTGCTCACACAACTTTGGAATATTCACCATCAACCGTCGTGTTATTTTCGCTTTGTTGCGTGCAGCTGGAAGTCAGATGTGGTCGGCAGTGGAAGCATGTGCAAGCGCCGCTTGAGTGGGAGCAGCAAGAAGGGCGGCATATTGCAATGCAAGTTGTTCATGAGTGGCAGCTGCCATGCCAGTGCTGTGGCAGCTGCTTTGTGCTGAGACCACATCCGCCATGTGACCTGGTGGTTTGTGCTTGTGAGTTACAGGTGCCAAGCAAGTATCCAGTGCTGTCTACCGTCTTTATTGCGACTTTGGGGTCCGTCCGTCGAGGGATTTGAGCACCAGGTTGGATTTGCATCCACACGGTGAAGTTGCAGCACCAACAGGTGCCAAACATACCTGGGTCGGGGGCAGTGGATGATACAATTTTTAATATACCCTGCAGCAAGCACAAGGAGGCTGTAACAGGGCATGGTTCAAAGTGGACTGTCAGAAGCTTAGAGGCTTAGAGACCGTGGTATTTTGAGCTGGCTGTACGACGACAAGCTCACCCAAGCCAAGCGAGTTGTTTTAAAGGGCGGTAGGCCGCCACCAACCTTAGCAGCTCCCACAAATGCTGCTGCCCCCAGCCATGCATCGGTCGCTGACAACCATTTGTGATGAATGGGCCCACAGCCTTTTGTGGCTTGATGGCGAGACACATGTGCAAGAGGGGAAAGGATAAAATCAGTTGAGTATTAACAGTTTCAGGCATACTTAGATTTTTGCGGGCTTGCGACTTGCATTGCAGGTTTGGCGTGGAGTCCGGAACCTCAACTTATCGACGCTTGATCGAGCGCTCTCTGGACATGATTTGAGCCATAAGTACAACTGTAGATGTCTATTTGCAGTTTCTTGTTGCTGGACAAGATGATCTTGTTTGATAGCATCCGTCTTATCAGCAGTCGCAAAGCAATATGTGTTGTTTCTGTATATGGTCCTGTGGAGGTTCAAGGGCGCACACTCCTCCCTCACACGCAAAGTCCACTCACTGAGGCAACCCGAGAAGGTGGACGTACTAAGTTTAATGGTTCTTTTCCTCAACCAAATGATGAGTCTCTCGAGGTCCTCACGCTCTACAGTCTCTTGAGCTTGACCTTGATTTGCTTTGCCCAGCGCCAGATCGGCACTCAACGAGGTGCGCAGCACGTGTAGAGGGTACTGTGGAGGGTCTTTGAATGGCAGGTCGGGTTTCTATAAAGCATGGGTGGTCCAAAGCTGGATGTGTTCTTTTGTACCTGGGAGTGCGTATCTCTGGAACATCTCAGTGATGGTCTGATTTTGCAGCTCCTCCAAAAACATGCACATCATGGTAAATGCTGGTTCACTCATTAGTGACCTGAGGAATAGGTTCCTTCAACTATTTATATCCTCCACTTTGAGCAATTGCTTAGCTAGCGAGTATCGATGTACGAACTCCACAGCCTGTTCCATGACAGCGCTACACTCTTTCCGAAACCCATCGAAACCTGCAAACCCAAGAGTTTCTGAGTTGGAGAAATTGTGGCTGGTGGGTCGGGGTGGGGTCTATGACCATCATGCCCCCCCAACCTTGCTGTGCTGTGCGGCCAGGCTTTTGGTCAAAAAAGCACAAGGGCATCCAAACGCAGAGAAGAAGTGTTGCATTTTTCTTCCAATGCCTTCGTCTCCTCTCAGTTTTATTCGCAAAGTATTGTTGGTGCCAAAATGCCCTCATTGCGGTGTGAGGCTTCAATGGCCCTGCCGTGTGGGGATCCCTGTGGATTGCCCTAGCTCCAACAGAGCTTGCAGTGTCTACGGAACTGCACCAGCCCCCCCACCTGAATCCAACATGAATCTTGAAAACAAAGGTGACAGCCCAACCTTTAGGGAAATAGACCAATATATAGAGAGAGAAGCTTATTAGAAACAACAAGCTACTAGAAACAAGTGCATCACTTCTAGTAACAAGTGCCTTACTAGTAGTAACAATGTTTGCTATTAGAAACAAGAAGCTACTAGTAACACCCTTTGCAGATTCCTTTTGCACTTCTTCCAGTGTTGCTCCCTTCGGGCCCATGGGCCTCGGGCAACAGGAGGACCGGTGACGATTGCTCCTAGAGCGTCCTTGTTACTACTAAGGCACTTGTTACTAGAAGCGATGCCCTTGTTACTAGTAGCTTCTTGTTACTAGTAGTAATGCCCTTGTTACTAGTAGCTTCTTGCTCCTAGTAGTAAGCCCAGGAGCCCCTAGTAGCGTCCTCGTTCCTAGTAACGATGCCAGGAGCCCCTAGTAGCTTTTTGTTCCTAGAACTCGATGGACTCTTTGGAACGTGTTCAGTTGGAACTGGATTTGCAGCGATGTACATGTCGCTTAACATGTTTGGTCTCGACATGTTAGGGCAGGAGTTTTGTAATCATGTAAGCGGAAGTGTCGCGCTTTGTTTTCCTTGAGCCAAACGTGTACAGCGTTGGGCGCTGTGGTTAGTTTTTTGAACTTCTGGGAGATGCTCTTCGCTTTACACACTCCCCCTGCGGCTTTTGCTGCACCCTCATCCAGCATCTCGCTCTTTGAGCAAGAAAACGCTGAAGCCGCACCAACGTCCGTTGATGTTCGGCAAGGCGTCTTTTCGCCAATCTGCGTCTACGAAAATGAGCCTCCTTCCAAAGGTTATTGTGGCCCAGGTCCAGGTGCCAGCCTACTGTCACCCTGAAGTATTCCAACGCACGGATGTCTTCCGGCGTTGAACGATGTTCCGGATGGAGCCTTTGTACACGCAAGCTGTGCCTGCGTGTCAACCAAGTGGCTGACGGAAGCCGTAAATAGTCCCACATGTCTGTGCGTGGGATTGGTCTGAATTTCGTCGCTTCCTCGTCCACCAATAGTTGCACCTTGTCAAAAATGGCTTGTGTCCACCAAACCGAGGGTGGAGGGTCAAAGTGTCTTCCTCCCCCCCATACGGAGGGATCAATCGCGGTGCTTGGGGCCAATGTGGTCGGTCCCAAGGGTTCTCATAGCCCCGATGTGGATCCTCCCCCGGTTCCACAGGTGGTCGAGGCATAGCCATGTATTTTGGCGTCTGCCCCCAAGGTGGTGGTTCATCTGGCCAAGCAGAAGCCAGAGGCGTAGGGCGTGGTGGAGATCCCCCATAGCTCTTAGCCGAAGCCATACTTTTCGATGAAGTCCCCATTGCAGCAGCCCCACGCGCAGCAGCCTTCCCACCATGATTTTCTACCCACTCAGCCGGCGGGCTTTTCCACATTGGTGTTTCTCCCCCCGGTCCATAGCTGACACTGGGCTCCGCCACATGCTGCACATACTTGGGAAGGACCGGAGGTGGTTTGGCAGGTGGGCCTTGTCCCACTGGAATGTCCTTCGGGAGGAATGGCGGTGTCTTGACCGGAGGTTCTTTCGAGGTCTGCCCCCTTGACTCTTCCCCACGCGCTCCGTCTCGCCGCCACCACCACTCAGCCGGAGTTGAATTTTTCCCCCATGGCGTGCGCTCGCGGTCTCTAGTTCTACATAGGAAGCCTCCAGGCTACCGTGAGGGCCAGAGAATCCTTCCAAGGTCTCCCCTTCTGACCCTTGCGTGCGGCCCGACGCGTAACATTCTCTGGCATCTTGTTCACTTTTTTCTTTTTCTTGTTTTGATTTTCTTTTTCTGACTCTTGGTCTCTTGATTCCCTTGCCGAGTTTCCTCGCAGGGCACACAATCGAGGTCGACCAGACCCCTTGGATTCTCCCCCATAGCTACAGCTAGTTGACTGATCATGGGTTGAATGAGGTTGTGAATCCCCGGTTCTGACTTCCTCCTACCAAAAAGCCTAGTTGCTTCGCAAGCCAGAGCCACGGCCAACGAAGCCACAACTGCCACCTTGGTGAGCGCATTGGGCCACTGATGGCAAGCCGCGCAGCTAGCCATGCACAATGCCATCTTGGCCAATTTAGCCCCACCATCGTTCTCCATCTCCATGAAGTCGTCCTTCGAGGTCATGACATTCTCCCCAACGTCCACCATGTTGATGAAGTTCCTGAACTTTTGCCATGACGCCTTCACTGCAATGGATTTTGTAAGGAAGTCGGCGATCAGCTTCGACCCCTCCAGGTGATAGATCTGCCACGTTCCCAACCGAGATCTTTCCCGTAAGGCATAGGATCTCAGTCTCAATTGTTCGCCGTGGGCCGTCAGGTTGCCGGATGATCGCAATAGCCGCTTGGCTGTCGCCGTAGGTGACCACGGAAGGCAACTCCCCCAGGCCCAATACTTCCCCAAGTAGAGCTTGAAGGCTGTCCCCCATCACCAATCACTCTATGTAGGCCAATAGTTCGGCTTCTGCTGTTGGCTGTTGACAGAGCCATGCAACTTTGTCTCGAAGACTCCCATTGTACAACACCACCTCCAATCATCGCCACGATGCCCTGCACGCTCTTTTCTCCTTGAAGGGCGTGAGACATCACAATAGATCTCCACCAGGTTCATGCTGCGCTCCCGGGCCAAAGCATCATCAGGTCCACGGTCCTTTTCTCGGCATCGACCGTAGGCCAAGAAGCACTCCTCCGTCGCGTTCAGATACTCCAAGATGTAGTACCCTGCTTGCAATGCCCAGCGAGGATTCTTGGTGACAGCACGGCCGAGAGCTCCAATGGCGTAGGATAGATCCGGTCTACTCCTCACAGCCACCCAAAGGATCTCTCCCGCAATGGCTTGCGCCTGTCTCACGTCCTCGATCTTGATCTCTCCTTCATCCTCCATCGCCGTGAGGTGCTCCTTGGGCAAGGGTGTCGATCTTTTGGATGTGATCTTCCGTCGTCGAAAAAGATCCTGTAAGTACGAAGGTTGCCCCACCAACAGGTCCTCGCCCTTGTACTTCATCTCAAAGCCACAAAACCGAACCCATTCTTTCGGGTTCACCTTCTCCGGTTTCGAGGTTTTCCATTCCTGTTGAATTCGGGCCACCAGTCCATCATGAGCCTTTTTTGAAGTGCCCAAGTCATCCACATAAACCAGCATCAAGCCCACAGGAACTTGGTTACCTTCTTGGATGATGCGCCAAAGGTTCCTCTCCTTGGTAGGCTGCAGATAGAACTTCTCCCCCTGTCCCAACCACTCAAAGTTGGAGAAGCGTTCATCTTGATGCAATGCCCAGAAACTTGGGGATGCTTGGAATCCATAGAGCGCCTTCTTGACCGCCCACGCTTCATTATCTGGACATATATACCCAGCTGCGACATCAACTTCGGCGGAACCACCGCCGCCGGATTCGCCCCAGGAGCCACTGGTCTGGGAGCTTGCAGGAAGGCACTTTTCACGTCCAAGGCCGACAGATGCCATCCTTCATGAGCCGCTTGTCGAACTGCGCATCGGATGAGCGTCCCATCAGCTCCACTGGCATAACTTCCTGCAGGTCCCGGAGATGGATCAGCGATCTCCGACGCCATGTTGCCACAGATCACGGCCCGAGCTCGATGTGCTCCTGTTCCTCCCTTGAGAACGCATTCGGTGCCTTGAAGAAGTTCTCTGGAGGTGGGTTCTACAGCTTCCGTGTCCTTCACCAAGACGTCGTACTCATACTGAAAAGCGGGGATCCACTCCGTGGGATTGGCCCTCACCTCATGTAATGGTACGGTGATTGTTTGTAGGACATCTGGTTCTTGTGCTTGGAGGCTACATAGTTGCACCCGAGTGTCCCTCTCCACTCGACCCAACTTGATCAAGTTGTCCTCCAAGTCATCCCTCCATCCCACAAACCATTCCACCTCCAGACCCACCTGAGCCCCTTGTGTGGCGTTCCGTGGTACTCCAGGTGTCCTTCACTCTGCCCAGCTATATAACCATCTCCCCTCCGCTATGTCATCTTCTTTCACGGCCCTACCAGCGGGATCTACCACCATAGCTCGAATCTCCGATGCTGAGGCCGCTGTAGATGACCTGGGAAACCTTTCCGGTGCATCTTTCCACATTTCTGAAGTTGATGTCTTCGGCCTCAAAATTGGCGACGATGAAGAATACTCCCCCCGCGCTGGTAAAGGAGCCGAACCCAACACAGGTGTGCCCCCCAAGCATGGAGTAGTTCCCAAAGGCTGTTTGCCCGTCATCCGTCGATATGGTTGGCCAGGTCGTTCATCTTCTTCCAACTCTAGCTGCACCACCTCTCCATGACATCCTTGTTGAATTCGAAGTTGTTCTCCTTCTTGGTTGGTTTGTACCGCTTCACGAACATGCAACACACGATCGCCCCGAAGTTGTACCACCCAGCCCATGGTCGCCTCCACAAACGGTGCCACAAGTCCTCCTCGTTGTCCAGGTAGTCCAGGAGGGCATGGCCACGGGACCACCGGAATAGTTCCAGCGCCACCAGGTCCCACATTCACTAGATGTGCTGTCATCGGTTTTGATGCCTGCGCTTCTCGGGAAAGACGAGTTCGAGCTCGGCTGTCCCAGCTTTTGCATTTCCTCTTGGAACCTGATCTCCGCTTGTTGTAGGCATTTGGCACGAAGTAGTTCCACGGGATCAGGTACTCCACGACCGCCTTGGGTTTGATCATGTAGTTCACGAAGTTTCTCAGCCGTCCACGGATTAACGTGAACTCTTTACAGAACCCTTCACTTCCTCTCCCACACTATGTCCAGGTACTTGATCTTGTACAGCTGGTCCCGTCCTGATGTAGGTTCCGATGCCATAGAGGGACCCCTCATCGTGCTTCCAACTTCACGTTGCCCTGGCAAGATCGGCGTTTGCGACTGGTTCCCCCGTTCTCCCCACGTTCCAGGAAGAGGCGTTCCAACCCCATGCTTGTTCCTGAGCGGGTTGCAACAGGCTAGATGCCCCGCCACCACCTTCTGGTACTCCAACTTGTCCCCCAACATGGTGTCCAGGTAGGAGAGGAAGTAGTGACCCAGTAGTTAAAGGAGGTACCACCGGCATGAAGCTCATAGGTTGCCCCTTGGTACTTCTTGTTCACGATCTTCTATGGCCCGAGCCCCTTCATGTGTAGATCTCTCCCTCGAAGCCCCAGCCGCCAAAGCTGATGATGTCTTCCGTAGGGATGGCGTCAACAGCCTACTTGGTTCCAGGCTTTGAGCTCTTCGAGGCGGCTCTTTGTTCTTCTGGGACTCCTCGATCATCGCATCCAGGCGCTCGTCAGCTGTGAGCCCCCGGTTCTTGGAGCTTGCCCGTCTTCTTCGAAGATCCATGGCGGCCAACAACCGCTCTTTTGGCGGGTGGTCTTACACCTTTGGGCTCATAACCCATGTAAGCGGAAGTGTGGCGCTTTGTTTTCCTTGAGCCAAACGTGTACAGCGTTGGTCGCTGTGGTTTGTTTTTTGAACTTCTGGGAGATGCTCTTCGCTTTACACAGTAATGTTCTTGTAATAGGATCTGAGCTGATTCCTTGACAAGCTGATCTGACCTTAGCCTTTGATGGGAAGGATGGGACATCCAGGATTTTCGCGTGTTTCGCCTTAAGTTGCCCTAAACATCTAGGAACCAAATCATTAGTGCGGGCGCTTCTTCAGGGAAGCTTCGCCGCCTTTAGGCGGCGGGGGGGAGCTTCCTTGAAGAAGCGCGAACTATCGTGCGTCCTAGGTAGTAGCTACTTAAGCTACTAGCTACCTCTGCTACTAGCTACCTAGCTCTAGCTATTACCTCTAGCTTCCCCCCGCACTAACCAAAAAAAAAATCGCTTTTGGACTGGGAAAGATCTTTGGCTGGACGAGCTGCTGAAGTGGCCTTTTTTCTGAACCAAAGAGCCGACCTGAAAGAAGTTGAGCCTTGGGCTTTGCGCATCCCTCAAACCCTGCACAAAAAGCATGCACCGCACAGCAATTTCTTGGACATGTTGCAAAGACATACAATTAGGTAGATGACCTCCACGTGGCAGGCCCATCCTGGCACTTGTGTTCCCCTCCTTCGGGCTCCGGCTGCACGGGCTTGGCCGCTCAGGCTCTTTTCCGGCTTGGAAGGCGCGTGTGGGCTTCGAGCTCGAGGGGTCCGGCGCTGTAGCTGTTGGCTTCAATTGGAGGCTTCCAGTTTTGGCCGATCTCCATTTAAAAAGGAACTACTAGTAGCAGGGGCATCGCTACTAGTAACAAGTGCATCGCTACTAGTAGCAAGAAACTACTAATAACGATGGCCTCCAACCTAGTTGGGATGGCCTCCACCCTAGTAGCGATGAGGTTTCTGGAAGTGGAAGACACCCCATGCAAAAGTCAACACCTGTGAGGTTGGGCACACGTGGGCGGGTGAACCTTTGTATTGCAACAAGACGTCCTTTCTCTTGGGCCGAACTGTTAATTTCACGTGCAACTTTGCTCCTCAACTTTTTTTAAAGTCAATATATATATATATATATATTCTTAATTTCCAATGGTGCCATTTACACTGTTTGGTGCCATGCAGTACCCTGGAACGGTCCCAGAGAACAGCCTGGAACAGCCTGGAACGGTCAGTCCTGTGTCTCAAACTGGAGCCCAACAGTTGGGATCTCCTGACTTCGTGTGACTTCGTGTGACATGGGTTTTTGGGTCTACCAGAGTCCCCATCGTCTTGAGATGTGGTAGGCTCAACTCACCCAACTGGCTAGCGGAAACGAACAGTGCATCCGCCTGGGAGTGGGAAGACCATCCAAATCGTGGAACACTTTCGACAAACCGCTTTCCACAAGCCGAGGTGCTTTTCCTGAAGGGGCTTGTGGATTTTGTGAGAGTTGGGATTTGAAGGATGAGGATCAGCAGCCTTGGAGGATTGGTGCTCGCCGTGATTTGGATCGTTTACACATGTTCATGCCCAGGCACCGCGCCAACCACGGCAACCGGGCTGGCGACGCCTGGTGGCCGGGAGTCGCAGCGGAAGGCCTCGAGCCGGACCAGCGAAAAGACGCGCAGGCGAGTGGAGCTGACCCTGGAGGGAAGAGGGGAAGGACCGGGAAGGATGCACCCTCTTCGCAGGGTGGGGCAGTCCAAAACATTGGCTGCTTGGGTAGTGTCTTGGATGATGTTTGTTGGGCATGGCAACTGGGGTAGAACCCCAAACGACTTTGGCTAGAATTGGTGTTTGGCCGCGGTTCTTTTCTTCAACACACATGGTTCATCAAAAGGTTTTTGCCATTGGTTCATGTGATTGTCCATTACTCATGAGTATCTGACTCGAGACAGTGGTTTTCCAGCAGTGGTTTTTGTCAAGAATGATGGTGGGGAAGACCAAGGAGATCACACATCCGAATGGTTGTTTCACAGACGTGGAGACTGAAATGAATTGCCTTTGCTGCCTTTTCTCCCTGAACCGGTGGTGACATTACAAAGATTGTACTTCATCGACTCATCAATCAAAGGCATACCAGACTTGCCACGCTTTGAGGTATTTCCTGTCAAAGGGAGGACAGATACCGGCTCCATGGCAACCCCAACGAAGGTCTGGAGGATCTTCCTCTAGACTCTAGCAGATGGTATCGGTTTCAGATTGGACCAGAGCAATTGTTGGACATCAGCTGACAAATAATTCAAATCACACCTTCCCAACAAGAGGGCTCCAAAGACTTTGCTTTGTCGTGAACATTTGTCTTCAAAGTTTTTTTGAGGGCTCGCTGTTTCAGAATGGACATGGTCTTCAGGGCCGATGTATGTTTTTTTGGGATGTTGGGCAGAAATTCTGCCGCAGAATGCACCCGCCATTTGGTGCAGCTCTGGTTGGGCTTTGCTTTGCACTGGAGGGTACGAGTATCGAGGGTACGAGTATCCAGAGTCGAGCCACAAAAGACATGGGGGTTATGTCAATCTTCAAAACACCTGGGGGCCCCAGTGGGTATGGGAATCCAATGGGTAGGGACATTGTTGTTTGTTGGTGGTCCTCCAAGACCCCGATTTTTTTTTCAAATTTTCATTGGCAGCCGCCCGAGTGCGGATTGCTGTGCAGTCAATGCGCGAGCTGTGCAAGCCAGACGTCGCGGTGGCGGCCGCTGTTTCAGGAGATTTGCATTCGAAGATGTTGAGAGGTCGAACCTTCGTGAAGGTAATTTTGTCAAAAACTGGGGCTTGCAGGGTTAGTTAAACAGTTTTCAATGCCAAGGCGGATGACAGCGGGGGAGACATGAGAGGTTGTTTGGCATTGCTGAGATTTTGCACATTGCCGACCATCCATGCTTGGTCTCACTTGTTCCCAGTGGCCGGGACGCAAAACAGCGATGACTCTTTGGGGCTGATCAGACCACTAGGAAACTTAGGAAACCACAACACATGTTGATCGCAAAAGGTCGGTTGGTATGCCAGCATCTATTCATTGATCCTCACAGTCTGTATCTCTCCATGCATGGAACTGGGGATCGATCGTTGCAACATGTCCCGGGTGCACCAGTCAGGACATGGAATCGCCTGCTCAACCGAACATCCTGGCGTAGTAATTTCACTGGGCATTAACCCATCTACGACTCTACGACCCAGCTCTCAGTCACCATCCGCAAGTTATGATCTTTAAGCCAAAAGTGTACGTGTGTATACAGTATACAATATACAGTATACAATGTTTGAATGATCAGACGAAACTGTCATGTTTGATGAAGGTCATTATCTTTCAATGTTCAAAGTTATTTCCTCTGCCAGTCATATGTCATTCTCAGTATCAACAGGGATCCTCTTGTGCGACCCGAACCATGAAAGTGAAACCCGTCTGCCACATCTTGGCCCTATGAATCTCGCCGGAGAACACTGCAAATCAGCGACCAATGCTTCGAATCCGTGACCAGAACCCGCCCCCCGAATCAGCGACCTGATGAAGGATAAGCGACCAGAGCTTCACAACACAGCTTCACAACACAGCCACTGGCCTCCAATCTACTAACAAAAATAAGCATGGAACCTAGACGCAATGGCCTCCAGCCTAATAGCAATGGGCAACTACCCCGAATCAGCGACCACTTTGTCCCGGATCTGCAACCACTAGCTTGCGCAAACCGGGAGCTTTCTTGAAGAAGCGCTCGCACTATTCATTTGGTTCCTAGATAAAAAGTTGCTGCATCGTGTCCGGTCTTCGATTCGTCGTGTCAGTTCCCCGTTTCACCCGCAAAGGGCGCGCACACGCGTGCCGGCGCGTCCCTGCGCATACTGACGTGAGGATCCCAGCTTCGGCGGAGAAGTGGCACCAGGCATTGCGGGGTGCCGGCGAACAGTGGCAGTGAGTGGCCACGGGGAAGTGAGTGCGAGATGGATGGCGTCAAGTGTCAACAATCTTTTTGTCTCAGAAGTTCCAGGTTTGTCCAGTGACGTTTGATGTTTTTGCAACACTGCGTCACGGGTGCAACTGCCCAAAACAGTGCTCAAAGCACTTTCAAACCAGAGGGCACATTTGTTGCTGTGGCTTGTGTCACCTGTGTGATGTACATGGACCGAGACATGCTAAAACTACGTTGAAGACGTTTGTATGGCCTCCATGCACTCATGTGAAGCAGTGAAAACAATCCTTTTGGCGTGATCTCTGGCGCTGTACCCACGGATAGATCGGCGGATTCCGCCCAAAGACATCTCGTCCATGCAACTTAGTGAAGTTACTTCACCTCCTTTGCCAGGCGAAGTGGTGTGGGGGAGCCTGGGGCGGAGCGGTGGAGCATGGTGGTCGGTGTGGATGGAGCACCCGAGGGGAATCTTTGGGGCTACTGTATGTCAATGTGGTTCAAAGGTTTGGCTTTTCTGGGACTCAGGTCCCTTGTTTTTGAGTCATACCAGGTCAGGATCCCGTTTTGATCTGTGAGGACATGGGATATAGTGTCATTAGTAGGCCAAGATATTTTGACACCTTTACCATGCTCTTTTCTTACTGATACTGATACTGATACAGCCGAGTTAGTGTTTGTCACGTCCATCAACTTTATGATGGCATGCGGAGGATAATGTGGTTCGTTCCAGTCGCAGGCAGTTCTCATTTGCCTGGTGATCAATAGAAGCTCTTTCGAAAAGAGCCGTGGTGCAACGGAACATGACCTGTTGGCCGGGATTGAATTTCGAGGGGTGCATTTTCTTTATGTGGTGCCTCTTAAAGAATTCATTGGTATTTACATCGTTTTTTGTTTACTTTTTAGTTCTTTCTTCAAGCATGCCTTTGGATGTTCTTTTTTCTATTTATTTTATTTTTTTAATTTTCTTTTTCCGATTAGTCTATATTTCCCCAAACAGTTTACTGTTAGGGGTTCTCAATGCTTTAAAGAATGGTCGCCTTGGTGCTGGATGGTCTGGTCGGGTTCCCGGCCGGATTGTCTCCCACTTCCTTTCGTTTGTCTACCAGTTCTTTTCATTTGTCTCCCAGGCTGGGTGATTGTGGTCGGGTTCCCGGCTGGCTTGTCTCCCACTTCCTTTCATTTG